CGCTGGTCTCTCAGCCTCTGGGCACTTTCCACCAGCCTATGCTAATATCGGTATGCAGAATCCGCCTTCTGTGAATACTCCAGGTGCTCCATCGACTGCACCTGCAACGCAACAGCAACAGTCACAGACAACAGCACAGCAACAAGCACCAGTACAGCCACCAGTCTCAACGCAATCTATTTCATCTGCGTTCAGTGGAATGAGCCTTGACGGCTGAAGTTACATGCGTGGAGCAACAGCTCCAAACACTGGTTCGTTCGCCTTTTCACCTTTCGTACAGCAGCCGCAGTCGCAGCAGTTTCAGCAACCTTTTGATGTCTTCGGTCGTTCTCCTGCTCAGCAACCACAGCAAGTACAGCAACAGCAATATCAGCAACCACAAGTACAGCAACCGCAACAACAGCAACAGCAACAGCCAGGTATTGTTTTTCAGCAACAACTACGTTAACCGTGTCCGTACACTACGTGATCAACTGGAGAAAAGTGGGGGATACTTCCCTCGTGAGATGTATCTCACGGTCCTTCTGGCTGGTCTTGGACCCGAATGGCGACAGACGCGCGCCTTCCTGCGCATGAATCCCAACCTCTCTGAAGCTGAAATTTCTTCTTATCTTCAAGCCGAGCAGCAAGATCTTGACCTGCAGTCACAACGCAACCAGAAAAGGGGGGTTCGTTTAAGTTTTTACTTCAATCCAGAAACACAGCATCGACATCCACCAAAGTATCCGTTCTGCCATTTCTGTAAGAAACCATGACATACTTACCAAAACTGTCGCAGCCGTTATCAAAATCGTCGCAGCACTTCGCAGCCGTATCACCTATCGCAGCAGTCACCGAAGACACAACCACCACAGCAGCAGTTAACGTCTCAGCAGCAGCAGATGCCGAAACCGCCGCAGAGTTCATCAACGTCGCAGCAGCGCCCGCCGGTCTTCGCATCTGCCACATCAGGAAAAGGAGTTTTTGGCTGTGTTACAACAGTTGATGTTTCCGAAACAGATTTCGAAACCCGACTTGAAGAAACCACAAGTGCTGAAGGCATTCCTTTACCTCAAGTTTACGCTAATCTTGCTCGCATAATTTCAGGACCAAATACCTGGTATCTCGACAGCTGCTGCGGATGGCATATGTGTTCTGCTGAAACAAGCTTCATCACGAATCAGCGTCCGCTTCGTCGTCCCATACCTGTCACAGTCGCCAACGGACAAACAATAATGGCACGATCAGTTGGCAGTGTCATGCTCGAATCTATCGACACGGGATACTCACTTCATGTTACGAACGTTCTTATCGTCACTGGTCTTGGTTTCAACCTTCTTTCCACAGCTCAACTCCTGGCGCACAAAATCCGCACACAAGGAAATTGTGAGACGATGGATCAAGAGCTCTGGCACAGTACAACTAATACCTACCTTGGTCGTGCCGCCACTCAACATGGCGTATCAGTACTTCAGTTCGCAGCACAAGGAACTTCTGACGATTCTGAACGCGTCCTTGCACTTGGTCCCTGGAATCATCCCGAAGAAACAGATTATCAAAACGTGGATATTGACTTTCGAGCAACTTCGGTACCATCAGCTTCTCGAACAGCAGCCGCCGTACTTACCGCGTTGGATACCTGGGAATTCAACACCGCTGATGAAAGTGCCAACGCGTGGCGAACGTTTTATAATACCCGAGCAGCCTTCCAAGGAACTCCAGCATCACTTTGGGGAGAGATAAGTGGTCTTGCAGCTGATGAACCTGGCGTCGTTGAAGCAGCACAATAGGAAGCAGTAGCTGAGCAGCCGAGTCCAACAGAAGCCGCCGCCGAAATACCTGCCACAACATCAACAGAAGCAGTATCAGGGGTTATCCTCGCAACTGCAGCAGCACCAACACATGTCACGTTACCTCTTAACCGTTTTGTCGAAGGAGAAATTGACAAGTCACCAGCACTTTCTCCTTTCCTTCTTTCTTCTTTTTATACTAACTCCGATTTCTATCTGCGATCATCAGGACACAAAGCCACAGAAGATATATGGCATCAAAGGTTAGGGCATCCATCACAAGGGATTCTAAATCATTCAATCCGAGCAGCAGTTCTTGATAAAAACAGTTTACTTTTACCTGATGGCACGGAGATGAAGCCGCAGTCTCGTCCGACGGTTTGCACCACCTGTCCAGTTGCCAACCTTACACACGATCCTTTTCCAAGTCATTTTCCCGGCTCAACCCGTTATCAACTGATGCAGAAAATCTACAGCGACATACTCAACTTGTCTGAAGCAGGACCTAAAGACGAGAAGTATGTGATAACCTTCATCGAAGCGTCTACACGCTATGTCTGGACAGCTAACTTACCTGCACGCCATCTCGCTCACTCCGTTTTCATCGCGTGGCTCGCTGTCGCTGAACGAGAGTCAGGAGTAAAACTGCAAGAATTTCAGAGCGATGGTGCAGAGGAGTACACCAGCAACACCTTCATAGACTACCTTCAGACACTCGGCATCAAACGGAAGCAGTCACTGCCACATGCACACCAACAGATGGGGGTAGCAGAAAGGATGAACAGGAATCTGCAGGAGAAGATGCGTGCTCTGCTGACGCAGGCAGCTCTTCCACCGCAATTTTGGCCGTATGCGATGGACCACGCCGTGCTGTTACACAATCTTCTTTCTTCAACGTCCCTGCCCGAGTCCTCTTCTCCACACCTGCAGTGGACACGTACAATGGGGAGCACGAAACTTTTACGAGTTTTTGGGTGTGTTGTACAGTTTCGTCCTCCAACTGCAGCCCTCGGAAAATTTTCTGAACGCGCAAAATGGGGAGTACATCTCGGCATCGAAAAACAGTATCATGCGTGGAAGATTTTGGATCTCCGCTCAAACCAAATCATCCCGTCACGTGATTGTCTTTTCTACGAAAGACTCACCTTGCCCGTTTTTCGTGCCCACCAGGCAGCCGCTGCCAACCCCGCCAGGCTGTTCGAAGGCTCGCGTGCGTTTGCCACTAACGAGGCTGAAGCTGATGTACAGGACGAAGCAGTTTCTGAAGCATCCGAAGCTGCTGCAACTGACATTCCCGAACCTGTAACCTCGACTGGTATACCTGAATTCATTCCTCTTGCAGATGCTGACCCGGATGATGTTCGCGAAGTTCATCTCAGCTATGAACGTGATCGCCAACAGCAGCCGATGCCCGTCGTCTCCGACGAAGCCGTTCATGTTACACCTGACGAAATTGGGGGGGAAGAAGGACCAGAAGAAAATTTCGCAGGTGCAAACGAAGAACGTCCGCGTTTTACGGAAACAGGATTGCAGATACTGGGATTTGCAGTAGCAGTACAGCGCAACGACAGTAAGATACCTGAACCGAAAACCGTCCGACAAGCTCTTACGAGTCCTCACCGAGAAAAATGGCGCGAAGCCATGGACAAGGAGCTAGCAGCACTCAAGAATCGTGGTACATGGGATTTAATCCCGACTTCAGAAGTCAAAGGGAAGAAGGTACTTACCGGAAAGTGGGTCTTCCGCGTCAAGACTAATGCAGATGGGTCGTTTGAAAAATTTAAAGCACGATGGGTCGTCCGCGGATTTGAGCAGACTTACGGCATCGACTATGAACTCACCTTTGCTCTTGTCGGCCGACATACAAGCGTTCGGATTCTACTTTGTGTCGCCGCCTGCCGTAATCTACGTCTTCGTCAAATCGACGTCTCGAATGCGTTTCTCTACGCACCTGTCGACGCACTCATCCTGGTAGAGTACCCACATTCTTATACTACTAACCCACCGAGTGTTTGCCGTCTACGGAAGTCCCTGTACGGCATTAAACAGGCACCACGGCTCTGGCAGCAGTATCTTCACTCGCAGCTGGTCACTGCCGGTTTTCGTCAACTACCGCATGATCAGGGAATGTATCTACTGACCGACGGCAGCAACCACATTCTACTCGTTGCCTACGTCGACGATATCCTATACGTCAGTACTACCGATTCTCTTCCCGAGACCTTCATACTGAAATTACAGAAAAATTTACAGCTTACCGTCTCCGAAACAGTCTCACAGTTTCTTGGACTGAACATTACCTGTTCACCGACAACTATTCATCTCACCGCTTCGAAGTACGCAGCAACTCTCGCTGCCCGCTTCAACCTCACGCCTACTACAGTCTCTACACCGTACCGCTCACTACCGACTGACCACAAACCGAACACCGCACTGTTAACTTCAACTGGTTTACAGATCTATCAACAGCAGCTAGGCTGTCTACTCTTTGCCGCTGTCACTTGTCGTCCTGATCTAGCCTACGCGGCTAGTCAGCTCGCTCAGTTCCTACGCCGTCCTGAGGAGGAGCATCAGCTTGATCTACTTCGTGCACTTCAGTATTTTATCTCGACACCTGACGTGGGATTAGTCTACAACGTCATCGGCTGTGGTTTTGTCGACGCCGATCACGCTGCTGATTCTACTAATCGACGGTCGCGCACTAGGTTCATCTATCGACTGGAACCTATCGGACCTATCTCTTGGAATTCTACGAAGCAGGAGCTAATTGCACTCTCCTCTGCTGAAGCCGAGTTTATTGCTGTCTGCACAGCAACACGCGAAGGACTTTACTTACAGGAACTACTGGAAGAAGCGAAGTTGACGACAACTACCCAGTTTACCCTACAGTGCGACAATCAAAGTGCAATTCGCATCGCACATCAACCTGGTTTCGTCAACAGGACAAAGCATATTTCGCTTCGTTATTTCTTCGTCAAAGATGAAATCGAGAAGGGGAGGATGCGATTGGTCTACTGTTCGACCAACGAAATGGCTGCCGATTTTCTCACGAAGAAGCTGACACGACAGAAGTTTCAGTACTGTAACAAGCTCTGTGGAATCTTCAAGAAGTGACACTATCGACGTTCCAGAAATGAAGGGGAGTGTTGTGATATAATTGGTACTTAGCATTTCTGTAAGTCGATTATGTGTAGTTAGTGTCGAATCTTACTGTAGAACATAAGTCCGTAGGATGACGTCAGCAAATAGCGCTCGTCATAGGACAGTCGTTTCAGTCACACGAACAGTCGCACCTCTTCAATATCATCTAGGGCGCATAGCGCGATAGTGACGAACAGGTACATTAGCGAATAGGTACTTTTCGTAGAACTATAAATCTCTGTCAGGTCTTTTCATTATTAACTTTGATTACCCACAAGTTCACATACTCAGGTTATTCAACCTTGACTATTATATTTTACAAGACTTCTGCTGTCTTACTAGTCTACCATTCCAGTAAAGATCCTGGACCAACACTTGAGGATTTGCCAAGTGTTCGTGTTTATAGTTTTATACTTAGTCTACTACAACAACAGATGATTTACTTCACTTAGAACCTCCCCCTAGAGCAGGCCCCCATATTTCAGGCCATTTACCTCGATTCAAGGTTTTTTCAGAGTGTTTGCTTGTACCAGCCCTGAATTGCTAGGGTTTTTCGGGCACCCAATCCTGAAATTTCTGCTTTTTTTATAGGAGTGAACTCTGTTTGTACGGCGATGTTAGTGTTATGGACCTTGTTGCCTCTGCCTACTATCCTGCAACTGCATGATTAAGGGGCCCTGCCGTAACCACCGCCCATTTTCCCTGCTCGATGTGTGCTGGGGGCTGTGTGAGGGCACTTTTTGGCCCCTAGATTTATGGCCAGTGTGTGCTTAGGGTGTCAAACACATTTGTGTGTGATGTTGTAGACCATTTAGGGTTGTGCCTTATAGAGTACAGCCCCCTTGGTTATAATGCCTTGTACTCTCACATTCTAGTCATTCTTTTCAGTTTGATATGGTACCATGAGTAGGTTAGGTCCCCTTCGCCCACCAGCGCTTCCGCCGTAGGTCCTAGCCGTCTCGCCTGCCCCGTCCCCTAGCGGCCCCTCGGCTCCGTCAACCAGCGGCCCCGCGGCCCCGTCCCCTAGCCGCCCCTCGGCCCCGTCAACCAGCGGCCCCGCGGCCCCGTCCCCTAACGGCCCCTCGGCCCCGTCGCCAGCAGCCCCGCGGCCCCGTCCCCTAGCGACCCCGCGGCCCCGTCCCCTAGCGGCCCCGCGGCCCCGTCCCCTAGCGGCCCCTTCCGTCGACCAGCGGCCCCCTGGCCCCGTCCCCTAGCGGCCCCTTGGCCCCGTCGACCGGCGGCCCCGTCCCCGTAGCCGGCCCCGTCCCGCCGCCGGCCCGTTCCCCTAGCCGGCCCCATCCTGCAGCCGGCCCCGTCCTGAAGCCGACCACGTCGCGTAGCCAACCAGGCCAAGCCGACTCCTCCAGGTAGCTGGTCCCGTCACCTAGTCGACCCCGTCGCCGCGTCGGCCCCGTCGCCCAGCCGGCCTCGCCTTCCAGCCGGCCCGCGCTGACACCGCACCGCACTGCACCGCCCTGCACCGCACTGCACTGCACTGCACCGCCTTGCACCGCATTGCACTGCACTGTACCGCACTGCACTGTACTGCCCCGCCCTTCTGCCGCCGCACCGACACTGATGGCGGACTCGGTGCTGCGCTTCGACGAGGAGGGCCAGCCGGTCGAGTTCGACACGTGGCTCGTCGACCTCCGCCGTCACCTCACTGGTCAGCGGCAGGACGGCCACTCCTTGGCCGTCCACCTCGATGGTACGCTCCCAAGCCGTGAACCCCCTGCTGCCCTGCCCGCTGACCCCTCGTCTCCTGACTGTGAGTCTGCTGCCGCTGCCGCCCTTGCCCGCTCAGTCTGGCTGTCACGTGACGCTGTCGCACAACGCGCGATCAGTCATGCCCTCCCCCTGTCTGAGCGCCCACGGTTTCGGTCAGACAGGACTGAGCAGGAGTTCCTCGAGGCTGTTGTCGCGCGCTACTCCACCCCACCCGCTGCCTCGATCGGTCATCTGATCCTGCCCATGCTCTTTCCCGATCTTGCGTCTTTCCCCATGGTCGCTGACCTAGCCGCCTTCCTGAGCACGCTAGACGCGACTTGGCGCGCTGCCTGCACTGAGTCCCAACTTCGTGTCTTTCAGCCACCCATCTGCTCTACCCTCTACCTGCTTGCCACCCGCCTTCCTGACCGCCTTGCTACCGCCCGCAATCACTTCCTTAGTCTCCACCCCGCTGACCTCACCCTCACTAACTTTGTCGACACCCTGTCTGCCATAGAGACCCACCAGCGCTCTATCGCCCAGTCTAGCGGTACTACGCCAGTCACTATCTTTCAGGGTTGTGTCCCCGCTCAGTGTACTTTCTCTGACGGTTCTGCTGCTGTCGCTAAGACAGTGCCTGCTGTGGCGACAGCCGCCGCAGCGCAGTTCCTTCCGGGGAAGGGTCGCCGCCCAAAGGATGGGCGCGGCGGCGGCAGTGGAGGAGGGGGTGGAGGAGGTGGTGGAGCCAGGCCACGCGCTGGTAGTACGGACGAGGGGAATGGGGCTGGTGCCTCCAAGCAGCAGGACAAGCAGCAGCAGTAGACGTCGCAGGAGCAGCCGCAGCAGCAGTAGCGGTGGGCTGGTGGTCTCCCGCCCGGGTGGCCTGGCGCTGGTGGTGGAGGTGGACGTGGTGGTCATGCGCAGAGTGTGCCATCGGGTGGTAGTTCGGGTGACGGGCGCTGTTAGTACCAACTCCAGACCAGTCCTCGCCGCGGCTCCTTGTGCGGTAAGATCGTTCACACCCACGCCCGCTGTTTTCGTCGCCTGGACAACCTGTTTCGTCTTTGCTTAAGCCCGTCGCCCGACCTCCCCGACTGGTACAGCTTGCTTCGCCGTAGTGTTCAGATCTTTGATATGGACATGGATGAGATTAGCTCTGCTTTGTATGTGCTGTATGTCGATGACTCTAGTGTGTCTGGTGCCTACTACCCCTTGTTGCCTAGTGTAGGTGTGCCTAGTCCGGCCTCCCCTGCTGCGTCAGGCGTAGGATCCCCTGCATTGTTTAGTCTTGGCTCCTCCCTCGCCACTCCGACCCCGGCCGCCACTGCTGTGCTCTCCTTTATCCTGGACTCTGGCGCTTCCCTGTGTTTCTTTCGCGACTCCACTAAGCTGACGCCGCTTGCCGCTCCCGCTGCAGTTTCCCTTGCCGACCCCTCCTCAGGTCCGGTAGTCGCCCATAGCTCCACCACCATTCCCTGTCCGATGGTTCCTTCGGGCTCTCTTACAGGCCTGCACATCCCCTCGTTCTCTAGGAACCTAGTTGGTGTCGGCTGCCTCCAGGACCTTGGCGTCACCACTACGTTTCCTGGTCACGAGCAGTACGCTGTCTGTACCGAGGCCGCCACTGGTGCTCCCCTCACCACGTTCTCTCGGGACCCGGTATCTGGCCTGTTCACGCTAGACACCGCGCCCCCCCACAGTTGGGACGTCTCCCCAGGTAGTTGCGTCTACCCAGGTTACTGCGGTCTGCTCGTGTTGGTCGCTCACTCACCCGACACTTCTGTGGCACCACCGTCTAGGTCACCCCGCGCTCCCGCGTCTACGTCACATGTCTTAGCACGGTCTTGTCCTAGGTCTCCCAGAGTCGTTCCCTAAGTTGCCCTCCTCCCCAGCGCCGCCGTGCACACCCTGCGTCGAGGGCCGGCTCCGCCGTGTCCCTCACTCCTACTCGTTCCCCTCCACCGCCGCACCGCTACAGACCCTGCACATGGACGTCTGAGGCCCTGCCCCCGTCAATGGGCCGCGTCAAGAGCGCTACTTCCTCGTGCTTGTCGACGACTACACGTGCTACACCACGGTTTTTCCCCTGGAGCAGAAGGCCGACGTGCCTGACACTCTTATCCCGTGGCTGGTCTCTACGAGTGTGCACTGCGGTCTCCCTGTCTTGCATCTTCACTCCGACCGTGGTGGCGCGTTTGCCTCCAGCGTCCTTGGTCATTTCTGTCGTGCGGAGGGCATCACCCAGACGTTCACCTGACGGACTCCCCGTAGCAGAATGGGGTCGCTGAGCGACGCATCGGTTTGGTTATGGAGGTGGCTTATACCTCCATGATCCATGCCGGTGCACCCCATTTTCTGTGGTCGTTCGCCGTTCGCTACGCCGCTCACCAGCTTAACCTGTGGCTGCACCCCCAGCAGCCGCTGGTTTCGCTGACCCTTCTTTGGACTAGGTCCCCTGGTGACGCGTCTGCGTTCCACGTCTGGGGCTGCCTTGCTCACGTTCGTGCCTCAGGCATGGACAAGCTCACTGCCCGCACCGTCCCATGTGTCTTCCTCGGTTTCCCCCTCGACTCGTCTGACGGGCACTTCTACCACCCGCCGTCTCATCGTTTCTTTCACTCTTGCGACGTCACCTTTGACGAGTCCGTCTCCTTCTACCACCGCTTTCCCCACCGTGGTCCCCTGGTTACTCCCCCCCTATTTCTGGTTCCCCCTCCCCTGGTCGCCCCTGCTGCTCCACCTCCCCGCCTTTCCCCGTCTGGTGTGTCTCACGTCACCCCCCTCTCGTCGGTTGTCCCGGTCGAGGAGTGTGCTGACTCTAGTGGCCGTGCGGCGCAGTCCTCGCCGCCCGCCCCTCCCCAAGTGTGTCCTCCTCCGCCGTCGCAGCAGCCGCCGTCGCAGTCGCCGCCGCAGCCGTCGTCACAGCCGCAGTCGCAGCAGCCGTCGTCGCAGCCGCAGTTTGTCGACCCTGGGGGTGCTGGCGTTGAGGAGGGTGCTCGTCCTAGGGTTCCTGTCGTGACATGTCCCGGCAGGCCTGGGGGTGGTACCGGTGCTGGAGAGGTTCCTGGTTCTAGGGGTGCTGGAGTGGAGTGTTCCGGAGTTGGCCGTGGAGCAGCTGGCGGTCCCGGTGTCGCCGTCGTGCCGCCGCAGCAGCAGACGCCGCCGGTGTTAGCCCTTCACCTGCTCGGCCTTCCGTCCCCTGACCACACGTCTCTGCCTCCTCCACCGTCAGCTCCCCTTCCTGTCTACGGCCCCGTGTTCCCTCCTCCGGACTCGTCTCCGGCTCGTCTTCCCCCGCGTTCTCCTTATATGTCTCCACCTCTACTCCTGACCCGACTCCTCCAACTCACGTCTGGTCCCGCCGTTCCTCTTGTGCTCGTCTTGTCTCTCCTGTTCCGCACTCTCACCCTATGTTGCTCCGTTCCCACGTGTCTCGTCCTCCCCTCCTGCCGTCGCCTCCTCCGTCCTCCCTTATTGTCGCGCCTCCCCCTCTGTCTGACCACCTTCGTGCAGCTCGTCCTCTTGTTCCTCGGGTCCTTGCCTCTCTCGTTACCGAC